TCGGTTTCATGAAAAAACATAGACGCTACAGGTGAGTTAAAACAACCATTGCTAGCACCAACTTGTTGTGTATAAGAGTTTGTTAGAGTATCCTCAGCTAAGGTTTTGCCGATATTAGCGAAGAAATCACATACATGATCAACAGACAACTGTGGGGAAGCGTGTATGTCTAACAACTCCAGACTATTTGTTTTTCTTGATGTTATATTATTTATCGTATGCCATAAATCCGTGAGTTTTTCTTATGTTTAATCAAGAGTTCTTTATCATATTGAATCTTAGATTTTTTAATTATGAGATTACAAAAATTACGGTATCTTTTGTAAGTTATTTTTAAGATATCATTATATGGATCAGCACGTAATTTTCGTTGCATATCATTCCTATTTCGAATACACATTAAAATACCTGGTGTAATCCATGGTTTAATTAATCGATCCTTGGAGGGAATGCGTTTTGAAAAAGTGTTGTCCATTAAACATTGCTGCAATTTATTAATAAGTGTGTTAGTTAATTCTGTGGGATTCTCATATAGTAATAAATTAGCTAGATTACTTTCTTTTAGGCTTAACAGTGCATTTTCATAATTTGTAATTGTCTTATATTTATTATTATTATTATTTTTAATGTTATCTTTATTTTGGTTTCCATTTTGTGTGTCCATATGATGATCGGTTATAGTGGTGTCAAAAACTATAATGGAGGCCAAGTGTCTATTAATATCTATTTTCAGCATAAAATGGTCCAAGCAGTTGTGTTTCCTTGTAGGCAATACATGTCCTGGAAGTATGCCATGCATTGCTAACATATTGAGGTATGCCAGTCTATTTGTACGTTCGTGTGATTGTTCAATGGTTTTATTGATAATATTTATATTAATATCGCCGGTAATAACAACTTTTTTATGTCCTTTTATAGTGTCTAAATGTCCGCACAATGAGTTTATAAAAAGTTCAGCATTTCTAATTGAAGGCGAACGATAAATGCAAAGAATTGTATAACTGAGTAATACAACTTGCAAGTATGTCGCATAATGTATTAATTTAATTTCTTTTATATTACATTTAAGTTTGTTTTTTACATAAACTACTACCCCATCACACTGATTAATATGATTTGTAGTCGAAAAAGAGGTATAGTTATTTAACTGCGGTATTGCTTCGTTACAGTCAAGTCTACATTCACTTAATACCAACAAGTCAACTTCAAAGTTAAATTTCGATAGGGAAATGTAAAAGTCGTTAAAATTTTTAAATACACTTCGGATGTTTTGAGCAATTATAGTGAAGTCAGTGTTTTTTACGTAATGCGATACTTTTGAGAAGTTATGAATTGATTCTACCTTTGACTGTGCAACTTGGATTTTGTCTATTACTCTCAGATTAATGAGAGAATTATCCATTTTTATGTTCGTATATAAAGCTGATTTTACGTACTATAAGGAATTGAATTAATTTTATTAATATTACGTTTCCTTTTATTTACTTATAATTAGGTGAGGAAAATACATAAATATTGTAAGTACGTACATTGTGTGTGTATTTGTGTTGTGTATTATGTATTTATGTATGCTTTTACATAGTGGGCATTGCCCTGATATATAGCAAATTAAATTAGTTAAAACAAATAATATAATGTAACGAGTATTCAATAACAAAGAGAAATGTTTAATGCCTACCGCATAAGGCTCAACGTATAGTCATGTTTTCTGCATCAGACTGTTTATTTGTGCTTCACTTTTAATCGTTATAACGGGGGATGTGTCATGCTCTCGCAGGTACACTCGGCCATACGCAGTCCAACAATACTTGAAGGTATTTGTTTTGGCGAGTTCCCGTGCTAAAAGGTACAGACGAGCCCCTTTGGCGGTTAGCTGCTCCGACACAAAAATAGGCGTATCTTCATTCCTTTTTAAAGACAAGATGTTTGGCACAGAGCTTTTGTTTATTTTTCCTGTTGAAGGCCTTACACATAGCCAAGAGTTCTGTTTTCACGATTGAGGACGAGGGCTCGACTATGATTGGTGACTCACTCTTCACTGCCTTTTTTTCCTTTTACTCGAAAGATGTCCATGATATGTGATTCATTAAGCTTGCTTCCGACTGTTTTTGACAATGTCATTACCATTCCTATCAAGTTTCCACGAGTTTCTTCGGTTGTTTTGGGTACGTTATTAATCTCCAAGTTGGCCTTACGGCCTTCGCGCTGCATATCTTCCAATTTTTATTCCAGAATAGCTATTTGTTGTTTATCTTTTTTGTTTGGGCTTTCGAGATGTTCCAGTTTTTTTTTTTTGAGTTCTTCATTTTGCGTTGCTAAGATATTGTTTTTTCTATGCTAGAATTCGTGTCCTTAATTTCTAAAAGCGCCGGGGTAATTTTATTAATTTCACGTTCTTGCACCTTAAACATAGAATTTATCATGGCCCTCATTTCCTCTCTAAACGCATCAAACCTATCAGGTTCAATATCGTCCTCCGGGCACTTTCTTTTGCAGCGCTGTGCAATAAAGCTATTATCCAAATGATGTCCTGACAGCTCTAGGTGTGATTCGGAGTGAGATTTATTCAATAAATTAGATTCCATTTGTGTGTGCGCTGATCTTTAAATCGAACGCTACTACTATATGAGGCGGGGCCACGTAGGCCGGGGATGGCCAAGCGCAGGTAAAGATGTTCTTAGCTGCGCGCGCGTCGATAAGTCAGTGGGCGGGACTACTATTGCAAGGACAAGATGGTGTCGACCTCGCAAGCGCTGATTAGTTTATATTAAACAAAAGGTCTCACGGTACCTTGCTAGCGTTGTACTAGGGCCCCAGATTTTACTCGGCGCTGCACAGGTAATGTTGAAGCTTCTTAGTCCTTATGCACTCCTAATATTTCATGTATATTTAATGGAGTTAATTTTGAATAAATATTTTTGAATAAGAGTTATAAAGTTTCTGTGTACGTCTACTCCTAGTGGAGGTCCGGAGGGAGAGGAAGGAAATAATTAATTACAATTTTAAAATGCTCAACTACGTCTACGTGTCTGCATTTTATACGTGGTAAAGCCATGCCGATAGGTGTAAATATCTGTGGGCCACAGCATCCACTTACTATTAGGTGGGCTGTGTGCTCGCTTGACACCTTTATTCTATAAAAATATCTTAAGAAGAAAACACCAACACCACCGATACAACATTAATATCTGAAGTGCTCTGGAGTAACGCAGCAAATTATTTGCTCCATAAACCTCTCAGAAATGGAAGGAGGCATTTGCCCAGTTATGGGACGTTTATAATCTGTACCTTTTCATAATCCCACACTCTCATACTCCGTATGGGGTTTGCTCCCCATGTTTTTATGGGACTTACTCCAAAAAAGAATGTGTCAAGTGTCGTAAAAGGTGACTAACGGGATATTGAATTTAATATAATAACACGTATTTTTTTTCTAAACGTGCATTCACTTTTTAATAGTATCCCAAAATCTTCCTTCTAACCACACTTTTCTCTTAACACACATTATTCACATTATATTACATGTACAAAAAATATCTACATTCCAACTTAAGCACTCTGAACTCCGTTTACTTAATATTTACCAGTTTTGTTGGAAAGTAAAATGTTGTACACAAAGGCGACGTTTGTGGGAACTACGAGTATTTAAATAACATGGGAGTCGGATCTATCGACACCGTATTTGCTGCTCCTTGTTAAGTCATTATCATTACAGCCCTTCACAAGTCCACTGCTAAACATAGGCCTCCCCCAAGTAATGCCACAAAGCACGGTCCTGAGCCACCTGCATCCATCGACTTCCTGCATATCTTACCAGGTCGTCACTCCATCTAGTGGGGGGTCGCCCTACACTACGCCTACCGGTACGAGGCTGCCACTCGAGAACCTTTCTTCCCCATCGGTTATCGGTTCTTCGAGCTATATGGCCGGCCCATTGCCACTTCAGCTTACTAATCCGTTGGGCTATGTCTGTCACTCTGGTTTTACTGCGGATATCCTTATTTCTGAGTCAGAGAAACTCAACAAACAACAACAAACAAACAGAAGAAAGAGATAGAAAATATATATATATATATATATATATATATATATATATGTGTGTGTGTGTGTGTGTGTGTGTGTGTGTGTGTGTGTGTATGTGTGTGTATGTGTGTGTATGTGTGTGTTAGTTAACCTGGATTGTTTAGATTAACGTGAAGAAATCTGGTATCGGTATGAAGAAGAAATAATCGTGAGGAATCCTGTACACTGAGGAATAAAATATATTTCGGGCGTATGGAGACCACCAACATGCATTAGATCAGCCCGGTGATCGATCCATAGATAGATCGATCCAGACATAGATTTAGACTGATTGATTCGAAATTCTTTCAGAAATTAAAGAAGGATCGTGCCCAGCTATGAAATGAGTTACGTAACTTAATTATTGAAAGCCTTGTTTACAACTGTTGTCTATACATAATAATATATTGTATAGTCCAAAAATACTAGATACACCTATAGATTCCGGAGTACGTCAATCATCGGCATATATTTATAGCATTGGGTGGCAAACAAGCACTCAGTCCACTTAATGGTATGTGAATGAATGCTGTGGCACATAGACATCCACATTCATCTTCAACTAAAGATCAAAATTCGAATTCGCTATCACCCCTGAGAACTAAGATGGAATGCCCCGATTCCAGTAAAAGGTTTACCGATTCTCTACACTCACCATACGAAACATAACAGCATTACGCTGCTATTTTACGCTGGTGTTCTGTGGTCCTGCCACTTCCTGCTTACCTATTCATGCTGCAACTAAAGTATGGCTGTAGCGTGGCTCTACCACTTAATAAAATTACGTTTCGGTAAAAATTAATCAACTCAATAAACATAACGTATATTATTTAATATTTTTTTATTACTGATGTACATACATTGATTGTTTAACTTAATTATATTTCATAACAATTTTCCGACCGTTGGAATATCTTGATTAGTTTTGTTAATTACTTTTAAATCTTGGTGAGAAACGGTGCAATAGATGCGAAATCTTCACAATCGGGCATAAACCTTCCTCTGTTTCTTATGCACGATTCAGCACACAGAGGTCCGTCAAACCAAGATCCGAGCATTTTCTTGCACTGGGCACAGTTTTCTATACAGATTTCCATTGGATCGTAACCGACTACCATGGAGGGATCAGCGTTAACAAAACCTATACTACCAATTACTATTTTAGAAATAAAGAGTGCTAATATGAAAAAAGATTTAGAAGCCATTTTATTCAAGTTAATTATATCACTAAATCGGTATGTATTACTGAACTAGGATAAGCCGAAGCTTTGAATGATGGAGAATTTTGTCGAGGGCTCTTTTATATCACATTTTAGTTGTCTTAGGCAACGAACCATATCTTAACACAACAGGAGGCAATGTCTATTCTTTTACGGATTTACAGCTTCTAATAATATTCTTCTATCTGTGGATCAGTAAAAGTAGCTTTTATGTAATTTAGTATGTAGTTTTATGTGAAACTAGCTACATGTACGGATATGTAAAATACAATTAATCTGTGCAGGTAAACATTATTTCATAGCACAAAAACAAAACAATCTCCCTATTTGAAAGTCGGTTCAAAGTTAATCTTGAACGATGCAATGGAAGAAAAGTATTTACAATGAGGAATAAATTTTCCTTTGAATTGTATGCAGAATTCAGCACTCAAAAGAGCTTCAAACCACGGGACGAATAGTTTCGTTTAATGTACATAAATTTTTAAGTAAATTTATAATGGGACTTATTTAAAGCAAATAGCCAGATCAGCTTAAATTTTGTTTAAGTAGATTACTTGCTATTTATACGGCTAAAGTAAGTTTTGTCGTTGAATGAAACTAGTTTTTAATCCCCGACGAAAACAGAGGGCAGTTATAAGCGTGTAGTGTGTATTTGTTGTATTTCTATCTGTAGGATCATAGCTTCTAAGTGGATGAAACAATTTTCATTTAGTATTTTGTTTTGTAAAGAGCCTCAATCGAGAATGTTCTTAGCTATGTTCCGTAAAAATATCTTCAGCCGTTTTAAAATCATCTGCTTTTTTTTGTTTCAGGGCTTTTTTTAATTTTTGATTTAAGTGCGTAATAGGACGTTATTGTTAATTCACTTAGCTTTATTTGTCTAATGACAAAGTTAACCACGGCTACTTTTAACTTAGCATTATAAATTTTTAGTCTAATATACAAAGAAGGAATTTATACTTGAGTTGCAGTGGTATGCTTGGGTTGCGATTTAATTTTATTAATTATAAAATCCCAAGATAGTGGCATTGATCGTCACTCGTATTTGTACGAAAAATGTAACAACAAAAGAAAATAATGTTAAAAACTCACTGAGATAAGGTTGTAGATAGGACTTGTAGATAAAACTGGGTAATCTTCCCAAATCAACCGTATCCCATACCAGCGAGATGTTTCGATAGTTTCTTTATCTTAATTATCTTAATGTAGTTTCTTATTGACATATGTCCAATGAATTACATCTTTTTTCTTTTTTTATTTACCCTAGTCGTTAATCTTTCTTTTATTTTTATTTAATGCCTTTTCTGGGGTGTAATAAAGAGATTGATATGTAGCAATAATACCGTGTTTTGTTTTACCCTCAATACTTGTTTATTTTTGTTATCTTTAACTTTATATGGAGTACAATATATAGTATTGTATGGTTTTATATTATAATGGTTTAAATGGGTACTCGTAACAAATATTGAAAGACAATCTCAAGTTCACAATTAAGGTCTAGACTCAAATTTTGACGTTCTGGAAACTCTATCGTTAAAACCCTACAAATACCACACATTAACTTCACATTAAGGTTTTTATGTATTTTTTTTTAATTTTGGTAATTTTAATGTTTTCCTTTCCACGAAGGACCAACAACTGAGGGGGAAGAAAGGTTCTCCAGTGGCAGTCTCGTACCGTTTGGCAAAGTGTAGGGCGATCTCCTACTAAGTGAAGAGTAAGACATGCAGGAAGGCGATACATGCAGGTGGTTCAGGACGTGCTTTATGGCATTCCTTGGGGCAGGCCTTTTAAGGCCTTTTAGGCCGTTCCTTTTTATAAATGGTAGGGCCATGCTGTAGTTATATTAGTAGTATAGTTGTAGTAGGAATGCGTCCGCTCGACCAGGGAAGGACCACGCTCTCACAGAATTATCTGTATGTTACTAGGTATTTGACATTAATATACATGAATAAATGTGAGTTTTCTACACTACTTCATATAATCTTTAATTATTCCAAATCTTACCGCTATCTTTCAGACAATATCCTTCAAATTGGTACAAGGATCATGCAAAATCAGTACGTGACACTGCAATTAACAATTAGACTGGTTCCAATGGGGATCAAATTCGGTAGGCTTGGATACTGTGAAACTTTAACGCAAAAGCTTATCCCCGAGCTTTTTTATAGAATTACATACAACTTAAATACAAACGTACACACAGACATTACATTGGTAAGTAAATGCATTGGCTCATAGACGTCATAATCTATCCTCGATTTAGAATAAAAACGAAGATGCGTTATTTACTCCTTCCAACTAAGATGAAATGCCTCGTTTTTAGTAAACAGGGGCTCCAGTTCTCTTCTGTCACCACTTGAAACACACAGCAATATTATTTTGCTATTTCAGCAATGTAAAAAAGTTAAGTTGCGCCCTTTATACGTCCCACCGACAGGAAACTATAAAACATCCTTTCATTACTGCAAAGACTATATGGCAAGGGAATGTCCGCAGCCTTGCCTTAACACATGGCAGCTTTAAATTACTTCGAAATATTTCTAATTAACTTTTTAGACATGTAGGTTTCTCTACGAAGTTTTTATTCACCGCCGAGAACGTCTCAGCACTTCAAACTGCATTCGAAAATTCCATTGGTGCTGGCCGGGATCAAACCCGGGTTGTTCGCATATTGTGAAATTTACAACGAGTGTGTGGCGGCGCTGTCGTCGCGCCGCAAGCGAAAACACATCGAAGCCTAAATCACGCTATCAACATTCCGAATCATAAACAGCATATATAGAACATCTCTGAACTATCACACGGAGTGTTGGCCGCTCCCCGGGCAGAACACCTAGCCCAGTGCGAGATCTCCCCTTTTCCTTCCACGGCCACAGTGGTGACCACCCGACGTGATCTGAACACGCAACCAACAACCTTCGGAAACTACAACTTCAAGCCTTCGGTATTATCCTCAAGAACTCCTACCATTCACTATTGAGAATCGTCTTCTGCAGTCTTCGGTTCCTGCAAGCCAGTACAACTTGTCTTCATCTCGACTCACCGCAGATTTATAAGGCAGACTTCTGGCACTTGCACCGGCACATTGTTCTCACCGGCATCACTTGCCAGTGCGTAGTACAGCATGCATTACACATCGGCATATCATTCGCACCGGTGTCACTTGCCCTTACGCACACAGCATGCATTCCCCACCGGCATTAAAAGGACACACCGGCAATCGGACTGCACTATCGACCTCCGGTCTGAGTAGGGGGGTGACGTGGCGGCGCTGTCGTCGCCGCAAGCGAAAACACACCGAAACCTAAATCACGCTATCAACATTCCGAATCATAAACAGCATATATAGAACATCTCCGAACTATCACACGTAGTGTTGGCCGCTCCCCGGGCAGAACACCTTGCCCGGTGAGAGATCTCCCCTTTTCCTTCCACGGCCACAAGTGCTTAGCCTCTGAGCTACCATTGTTGCTTATAGATAGACTTATTTATTATTGACTTATTTTCAAAAGTACAACATAAGCCATATAAATAGGATTAGGAGTTGCATATTTTACTTCCATAGTCCCTAAGATAGTCCATTGCCTCGACAGTTCGTAACTTAGTTTAAGAGGTCTCCGGCTACTCATCAAAGTTTAAATGACTTTTGCTACTAGCGCTTGAAACTGCTCAATTACTTAATATTTACTTTTATTGGCTGTCCTATACGTATCACAGAGTTTTGTATATACTGTTACATACATATTATGATACAAAACTGTATGTAATAATAAAGAAATGTGTCACCGGCTGATTATATATTTTTAACATTTTTTTTACTCATTTTATGAATATATTATATTCTGCCGTGTGGAAACTGCATAATATAAGCATCTAATTTAAAAAACACGCCGCCCCGCCCTGTCTTTTTGGAATCAGAAACTTCTAATTTGCGTGCCCTTTCTACGGTGTCTCAGTAAAATAGTAGGTCATTTTAACTACCCATATCAAATTGACTTGTAAGGAGTGGTTGATTAGTAGAAGGAGCAAGCAAAATAAAACTGTATCGAATAGTAGTCGTGATAGCTCGGAGGAAACCACTTACACACACATAAATTTCACAGTACGTGGGCAAATTAGTTTTGAAATCCAACGGCACCAGTGAAATAGTTAATTACAATTTAACCCTTCAAGCTCTAAGCGGTCGAATTAGACCGCGCACACTTTTAATGGTTTTGTGCCGGACGGGCGAAACTCTTCGGTGTAAATGTTGTCGAAGACACTTCGCGAGTCGCTCACGTCCTACACCTATAGGTTCCGGTGGGTACTTTCACTACCGTCTTTGTGGGTGCCGCTGAGATATTGTGGACTGGGGTTCAAATCAAAATGCACGATTTATAAATACAAATAGCAAGGTAGTGGCCAGCGGTTCGACTGATTGATTAGTCGAGAAATTTTATAACTATTGTTTATTGACCACGGTTGTTGAACTACGGTTGTTCAATGTATACTTCAAAATATTTCTTTAAATTGACGGTAGTATCAAATATCTATTGGTAGTAGCTGGTTTTCTAACACTACTGACTAGCATCTATTATCAACTAAACTAGCTGATTTTACTCACTTGTGTAACTGCGAATATCAGTTACGACCTTTTTCAGCTAGCTAACACTTTCACTATATGTAACTGCGAATATCATTTACGACCTTTTTCGGCTAGCTAACACTTTCACTATATGTAATTGCAAATATCAGTTACGACCTTTTTCGGCTAGCTAACACTTTCACTTTATGTAACTGCGAATATCAGTTACGACCTTTTTCGGCTAGCTAGTACTTTCACTATTCACTATATACTGCTACTAGTCACTTCAGCTACCACCGGATACCACTGCTTGTCACTGGTGGTTCTTCACACTACGACCCCACTGGGTCCCGAGCCCCTAAGGTAGACTTTGGTTATTCCTTAGAGTGAGCCGCTTGCCATTTTCCGTTTTGCCTTT